ATTTATTACATATTGTACTTTTATTTTGTGACATTTTGTAAAGCTACACATTTCAGGGACTTATTTTGAACTGTTTTTACTTCATACAGTTTTATAATTTCATTATGGAGAGCTGTTCCATGAAAAATCTCTTGAAACAAAACTCTGGATAAATAACAGCTTTTAAATTTATTAAAAACTAGACAAATGAATTTTCAGTTTAAATACTGAGAACTGAAATGACATGACTTATACAAAAAAATAAAGCTTAGTAGAACAAGCTAAAGTAACATAAGCAAAAACGTTAGCTAAGAGCTAAAAACAGCATCATATAAGAATAAAAAAGGATAAATTTTCTGCATTATTAATGTTAGTATTAGTAGAGTTCATAAAGGTCATCAGAGCTGATCTGCAAGCCTCTGTTAGCAGGTCAAAGGTCATGTATAAAACATGACAGCATTTGTTTATGATGTTTGTTGGTTTAATTTACTTTACTTTAGAACCTGTACACTATCAGGTATTTCATTTTCAGGATAGTTTTTATGTTTAAAATMAAAAATAAAACATAAAAATAAGTTAAAATAAACGAATATTGAGCAGATTTATTGCACACCGTAGGTAAAGTTTGCAGTATTAATAATTTATAACATTAAAAACCATAAGATTGGTAATAAATACATCAAATATAATATAAATGCTAATTGAAGTAAATATTTTAAAGGCGTCTTTACAAATAAAATAAATAATTGTAATTTTGATCCGGCAGCGCCGCGGCCACCTCTGAGCGGACTGATTACCCATCATTCCTTTCGGCCTGTCTTTTCCTCCATCTTTCTGGACTGATAGCAGGTAAGAAGCCTGGCGTCTGAATGAACCTTTAATCTCACCTGTAAACGTCTTCACCTGCTGCCCATACTCACCTGCCGGGTTCGSTCAGAACCTCCTGTGTCCTCCGGGATGTTCGGACCGGATCTAGAGCTTTGGATTCGGGAGATTCGGTTCGGATGGAGGAGCTAGCGGTGGCTAACAGCCTGGTCCGGGGCGATGTTTCGGTGCAGGAACCCGTCTCCGGTGTGCTGTATTCGGCTTTAAACAGCAGCTGAACACCGCTTGTGAGTGCGGTTGTTGCGGGTTGAGGCTTCGGTACCGAACCTCGGATACAGAACCTCCGAGTCCGAGCTTCGAACTGGAAACTGGCGTTTCAGTCCGGTGTTTGGGTCTGATCTTAACGTGACTGGATGGTAGAACCTGAGGGTTCCGGTCCAGGTGTAGTCGGGGTGTCCATGTAAACACATGTCTGACCCGGTTCGGGTTCTGTTYATACCGGGTCTTTRTCATAAAGCTRGCTTCTGATTGGTCAGGTGGGTGAWGGCTAATGTTAGTGTTTGGATCAGTCCTGTTCCAGTTCTACTGGTCTTAAACTGGTCGAACCTGGACGTTATGGACCAGCACCGACAGCAGGTTCTGTAGAACTCAGTTGTGTTTTTATCCTCAGGTCCAAACACCAGAAGTCAACTTCATTCAGGTGTTTATGGACCTGWATGAGTCCGGTCAAAACAGAACCAAAGTGGACCTTTACAGGCTGGTTCTGTTTGAGCTCCAACATGATGCTCACCTTTCAGGYGTTTTATTCTGAAGTTCTAACTGGACTCTTTCCTTCCTGCAGGTGAGCTCACCTGAAGAGGACAACAATGCCTGGAAGGTGAGTTCAGCGTCACTTCCTGTGTTTTAGAGCCACACTGATGATGACCTCTGACCCTCACCAGGGTTTTATAAAGTACCACAAACTGATACTTGAGTAAAAGTCTTAAAGTATGTGATATTTGTTGTAAAGTATTAAAAGTCAAAGTGTAGATTTAAAATGAGC